TATCAAATATATCAAATATGTCTGACATTTAGATCTGCAACCTTCTGCGTCACGTCCATCAATCCAATCCTATTACAATATCTAATACTGATAAAAAGAACTATGCGTAGATATTTAAGATCTGATGCAACTTCTCTTTCACCTGAAGCATGCTGTGATATTATAGATGCTAAAGGTAAAAAGAATATATCATCAGTTTTAGCTAAAAAATACAAAATATCATTACGGAGAATATATCAAATCTGGCGAGAACAGGAGTATCCTCCTGATGTTAGCTTGACTAATCAAAATAATGATTGGAATAAAGAAATTGAATGCATATATAATTTATATGCTGAACTTTCTAGCGAACGAATGGATAAATTTTTCAGCTAAGCCATTGTAACAAATTTTCCAAGTGAAATTTATTTTGAAGGATAGATAATACCTATACTGTGTATAGTACTGATGCTCCTAATACTTCTGATACTTTGCGTATTACTGATACTTCGCATAGATTCAATAATTTACATATATTTTTTACTAATATCACGGATAGAGCCTGTAGTGTGCATACCATTGATGCTTTTGATACTCTGCATATTACGCATAGTATTAATATTTTGCGTACACATTTTTTATTAATAGTATGAAAATCTGATTGACTACCAATACTATGATCAACCTATCATCTAGAAAGTATATGCGCTCTGATGCTACAAAATTATCTTTTGCAGATTATGAAGATATCATGCAATACCGAGATATGAAGTCCAAGCCTCTGGATCAATTAAGAAAGAAATTCCATGTATCAACTTCTCGTTTATATCAGATTTGAAGATGGCAGGAGGTAGGGAGGGTCAAATGAAACTATTCAGCAGTCCCGCTTTCTTATCCAAGTACAAATATTATAGATAAACAGAATGTACCAGAGGTTTCAGTAGAATGCAATGTTATTTCTGGGAGTAAGGAAAAAAAGACCGGAGGAAAGAAACCTAAGTCTAAGTCTGTTAGAATCTCTAAACCATCTATTACCCAGAATCAGCTAACGCCTACAAACCCGAAGGGTTCAGAAGGTTTAAATATTAGCAGAGAGGATCTGAATGCATTTTATGAAAAAGAAGATAAGAGAGACGAAAAAAATAAAGCAGAGGTGAATAGACGTCTAGCTGTATAGAAGATATTTTCCATTTAGTTTACCATAGCGTACTAATAATTTCTCACATAATTCGTTAAGATCCTCTTTAGACTTAAGAGCGCTATATAGCATTTTTTCAAGTTTCTCATAACTCACTTTTTTTTTAATGTGCCATTTTCGCTTAAATCTTGCGAAATACAGTCCGGGGTCGAGGATTCATCACATTTGGGAGTAGTGGTTACATAATTCATCTCAAGCTTGTTCTTGACTTTGTGCATGATGACTGGAATAATTAAATCTTTGCCATTATGAGAAATCTTTAATTCATCTTTGTCCCAGTTAATTGCATATTTATATTTCTTAAGAAGAGAGTTCAAAAATATTAGCATTGGCTTAGAGTATTTTACAACTATAAAATCTTCATATATAGTAAATCCAGGAGCTAATATTATTAGTAAATTGTGAACGACTCTAATAGATTCAACTGGCACAGTAGCAATACCACTAAGATCATGTTTTATGGATTTGTCGATTTCATATCTTACGTGTTCGACAATATCAGATGTTATAATGGAAAGTTCAGCACAAGAATCCAGTGCCATAGCTGGAATTTTAAGACACTTAATCTTGCATTTTATAGACGCAATGCTTGTAGTGGGCTCCTTCTTTTTGACGAAATCTATCTCCATGGGTCCATCCAAAACATTCTCTTCATCTGAATCTTGAGCTAAGGCAGGTACACACTTTTTAGCCTGCTGAATTATGTGCAGAAGATAATTCTCAAATTCGATCTGAATGATTTTGCGAATAGTTTCTTCTAAAGACACACGCTTACCATAACTATCTTTATCTGATGAGGCATTATGGACAGAAGACAAATTATTGTCTTGCTTTACCTTACGAAGCTCAGATTTACTAGAGACCTTAGACTTTGAGGATTTATCGGAATATTCACATTGCTCAGCAGGTCCTAAAGGGACCGCATAATTCACTTTTTTTTTCCATTTTCATGACTTATGTAAATATTCATATCACGATTTCCAGAGTCTGAACCGGCTGACGAATTATCAGAGTTATAATCATTATCCTCAGGTTTTGATGTAACATCATCAGAAAAAATGGGATCAGACTGATCATCTACTGTAACTATATGAACTCAACCACTTCTGGATTTGAAATCTTTAGCAAGTTTAGCCAATAAGATTTCAATTTGTCCTAATCTTTTTTCCAATCCTCCAAAAGATGAGGACTCCGAGCGTTAACACTGAGGTGTTTTGGCACCTCTGGTATCTTTTCTAGCAAATTTGGCTATGTGGGCTTCAATTCGTTCTAATCTTTTTTCCAATTCTCTATTATTATAGTCTGAGGATTCTTCTTTTAAGAATTTGAGAGTTCGGCAAAATTAATTTCGATTATTCCTAATCTTTTTTTCAGTTCTTGATTAAGATGTCTATCAAAGGTTGAAGTACTATTCGAATTAATTACATTTTCTGGTAGCTGTAAGCGTTGGGCAAGATTAGAATGCACCTGCATTGATTCTGCTAACTGTGTTCTAAAGAAGCTATTTTAGAATATAACTTTTCCATCTCAGCTGAGGCAACTCCCTGAGAACTGACTTGGGATTGGATTTGGTTACCCATAGTAACAGACTGGGGATATATATTTGATCCAACTTGACGTTCTACCTAGCACTTCCTGAGATTAGCAAAGAAATTATCTACAGTTAGATTACCTGCATCTTTTATAGTCATATATATTTTTATACTATTACGAAGATCTAGGGGTAAATGAGTGTATAATGCTAATAATATCTGATCATTTGCAAAACTTATTATGTATTTTCAGACTCTAGATTCATAAACATCAGGAGAATCTGTCAAGTTAAATTTTTCTTGTATCAATGACTGTAAAGCTAATTCTGCATTTCCAATCATCACTTCTCGATATTTATAATGTAGCCAAATAGTAAATGTAGCAGGTGTATTGATAGCAGGATTACCACCTGTATAGGGATCATTTACTTGTACTGGGAAAACTTATCTCCCATTATACTCTTTAAGATATCACATTTATCCGCATCAACAAAAGTACCTGCATTAGCATTATTGGCGGCCATGATTACATTTCTGGCAGATTCAAAAACATTTGTAACATGTTGAATAAAATCATCTGGTGTGCATTGCCCTTCATAAGGTTTAATTTGCCCAAGTCGTGGGGCTAATATTTGATGAATTTCATGAACCTGAGCCATATGTTGTATATTAGGTAGGTTATTTTGTAATGCCAAAATTTGTTGTTGCAAATTTAAATTATTCTGGTCTCTTTGCCTAATCACTAGCTGAAAA